TCAACAATTTTTGTAAGGGTATATCTTGGCCAATATGTGAAAATTAATGAAGTTTCCAAGTTAATAATAATTATTATTTTTTTTTATTTATTTTTATTTTTTTTTTTGCCATATAAATGTCTAATCCCTATTTTTTTGCCTTTAATATGAAAATGGGCTAGAATTTTTCTTATCAAATTAATAAATCAGTGATACTATGCAGTATCAATTCTGCTGCAAATAATTTACATGAACTATCACAGAGGAAGATTGTATTTACACCTGGTATGAAAGACATTTATTTCATTTAGAAGTAACAGGTAGCATATAAATAAAATTATGTAACCTATACAGAAGCTAAGTTGACAATATTACACAGGTTTCTTACCAAAACTTTAATGGGCAACTTCTCCCTTTTGGAAATTGGGAAGGGATCAGCCATAAATTAATTTTTTTTAACCACTTGAGATGCCATCTTGAAATTTCCAGTGCTTGTATTCAAACACGTAGAGAACAACAGGTGTCTTTTATTTTTATTCCACTGATATGACCACCATATTTAGGGACAAGAGTATATTTTATGAATAATTTCAAACAAATCTTTTTATTACTTTTATAACTAACGTGAAAGTGTTAACCTGACTAACTCACATGCAACATACAATCACACTTATATGACAAGACAGCAAACCTGGCCAATAGACATTTAAGGCACACAATAGACAACTACTCCATTTTAACATAAAGAGACACATTCCATAAACATTTCTTCAGCTTTACTTTTTCAAAAATGATCTCATCATAATGATTTTCAAAAGGAAAATGCTTTTTTATCAAACAAAGCAACTCAGCAAATTTGTGTATGCTTGATCTCATCAAATGATAATCAAACATGGCATAGTCAGAAGCAACCTGGCTTCAAGTTAGGGATATTTGACCCGAAAACTGGATTTCTATCTGAGCTAGCTCTTTCGGATGAGAATGTCACTACGCAATTTTCATGCCTCTCAATTTTCATTTACACAACTATCCATGTATGAAGTTTTAAACTGTGCTCTTGTGACAGAAAAAGGTTCCTGCGTGCAATGTACGCTTGATCTCATCTGGGAAATGTATACAGTACGAAGTGCCCAACATGCCTTGCTGTCCAAATTTGGTCCCACGACATGAACAAATTTACCCTTGACATGATGTTGCTTGTACCCAATTCTCCACATGCTTTGGTGGAAAAATGGAATGATTGACAACCCTTGTAATTCAAAAGTCAGCCCCGTATAAACTTTAGAGCATCCCTGCTTTCAGCGTATGCGCAGTGCTTAAAACTATACTTCTGTTTCATCAAGCTTACTACTCATCATTCGCGTCATGGAAAATGGTGAAATTTTCTTGGGTGTGCATCAGCGCAACAAAGTGCCAGGCAATGAGTTGTATTATAGGAAACACTAATTTTGAGCCTGTATTATGTAATTTTATAACAATTTTTATTTTACATTATATAAAGTGTATTTTCTTAAAAGTTATTCCATGTTTGTTCTCTATCTATATGCCGGCCCTATTTCAGAATAGCCAAGCTTCAAAATAGTGAACCTGCATCATACATGTAGTGAACCTTTCGAATAGTGCACTTTAAAAAAACTGAACCTTCGTCGTATAGAAGCGCACCTGCTACAAAATAATAATAATAATAATTTATTGAGCTCAAAGAAATGGTTTACATTTACAGGCTCTCTAACTAATAAAAACATAAGAATAATTTAATTATTAAACTATGCTCATCCACGCATACTATTGAAGTTATAAATCAGACCTAAACAGTGGCAAGATAAAGTATATAAAACAATATAGTGATTAAAACTGTCACTTCTTGTTTCCTATAGCTTTTTAAATTGTAAATTAAATAATTGCAGTGAAGTACCCTAATTTCAAATTGTGGTTTTCAGTACTATTTGATTGTGTAACCATAATATTATCCTAACCAATTTAAATTCTATATTCAAATGTATCTTTTATACTGTCTATGGATTTAAATTGGAGACAAGAAAGAAATTTACATTCTTTTCGCTACCTTTTGGTGTCACATGATATCCCCCAGTATTGACTGTATTCCAGTATTGACAGTATTTATGGTTCTGGTATACTTTAGGAGGAACTTATCTCGTTTGGCTTTAAATTGATTTACAGTACAGAGAGTTGCATTTCTTAATTCCATTTAGACAAAGCATTGAACAGACAGAGCCTTGCACTGCAAATGAGACTTCTATTATTTTCAACATTGCCAGCTTTGAATGACTATTAAAGGCATTTTACATTCTAAGCTCTGCCTCTGTATTTGGAAAAGAACTGAGAACTTCAACTATATTTTCAAGTATCTTCCAAACATTTATGATTGAAAATTTTATGTTCCCTGTTACTCTTTAAAGAATAAACTTAAAGGGATAATAACTCTTCTTATGAGATCTATATTTCACAATAAAAACATTATGAATAACTCATAGAAATATAATATATTCTGTTTTACCACAAAAACGGCAGTTATAGCTATTATTCTGATATCTGAGCTTGTCTTTAGACCACGTGACCTCCATTGATGGCTATACTCTGCTAAAATCTCTTAAGAGATTTTAACAAAAAACCAAACTTTTTAGAAAAAAACCAGGGACTAACTTTGAATGTAAAAATGGATTCATTAACCATTGGTAAGTATGGGAAAATTGTTGTTTACTCCAGGAAAATTCATTTTTTGGCCGAAACGAAGAGTTATTATCACTTTAAGTTTGGTATCTCAGTAACTCATAACCAGTAACCATGCAGTAACTCATGAAGTCCAGCTAAGACTTAATTTTTCTCACATAAATGACTTATGGAAAATTCCCATAGCCTGTATTTCTCCAATTTTACCCGAGGACCAAAGCCGACATAGCTTGGAACAGATCTGTGAGACAGTTGCACAGCCAATGGCTAGTATATGTAGTTTCCTTCAAGGGAAATTCAATTTTTCTAAGGATAACACCAATGCCATCTTTATCAAAAGGCTTGGTTAAGTATTAGTACATAACATAATGCAAGTTATTAAAAAACAAAATTGTTTTCCAGGTATATGATTTTATGACAGTATAACAATCTAATTTTTATGAAAAGTTATTTAGTCAGTTTCACCTTAATTAAAGCCAGTATCAGGGCAGACAGCTGAGTAATGGCCAGACAGGTGTTAGCATGCAATGTCAACCTTGTATCTTTTCTATTTTTTATTTATGTACAGGACTGTCATGTTAGGTTGTGTTCCACCTTAAAATAGATAGTTTTCTATACAGTATTACTGGAGGCCCCAGCTCTCAACCAGGAATAAATCCGTCTGTGTGGAAGTACCTACTAAGTCTTGTTTGTTTATTCATGGAGACCATTCCCACAGATATTTGGATCGATCTATCTCCCTGGGGAGTCTCACTAAATTGCTATCAGCGTAACCAGATTTTAAATGTCTGCCACGCCTAGTAAAGCTGCTAGGGGGTAATTATCTTTATCCCCTAGCTGATTCAGTAGGCATGACAGACATTTAAGCCTCTAGAGCTAACAGATGAATCTAAGACCCCATTCCCAGAGATTAGATCGATCCAACTAGATCGACCTAACTCCCTGGGGGTTCATGCTAAATAGCTGTCAGCCGAGCGGGCACGAAAGTTAATTACCCCCTTACAGCTTGTAGTAGGCAGGACGGACATTTAAGCCGGATAATCTGACAGTAATCTAGTGAGACTCCCCACAGGGATAGATCGATCTAAAATCTATGGGAATGCACTCTAAGACTATTCATGGGGCTGTCAACAACAAAACTGGTTGACTTTTCAGCTATGTGATTTTAGGGGGTAAAGGTAAAAGCAGAAGATTGAATGGCCCCGTATTTCAATGGATGTGTGAGCTGAAAGTCATTTTACTGTTATGGGCACCTATATTTTTTATGCATTAATGGCCACAAACAGTACATGTATTCTGTACATATCTCAAACTGTAAACAGAAGTGTTAATTCATTAAACTTTGTGCTACCTTGTTCAGTAAAACCAACTGACATCTTATCTAACATCTACATCTTATCTAACAACTGTTATATGGAATAGATAAATAAACGGAATGAATTAATTAATATAATATAAAAAAATAAACATGGATACTAGGTAATCACACAGGGAGCAGAGACTTTCATCAAAGCAACTTAACACCCATTACTAATTAATTAATTAATTTGTTAATCAATATTAATGGGACACAACTAAAATCTAAATAATTTCAAGTTGGCCCATTTCTAACTGATCTTTAAATTTTATCAAAATCCTGAACCCCATACTTTTTAAGTAATTAAGCTGTTTCAACTTACTAGTAAGTTAATGCAAGGAGTTATAACTCCTTGGTTAATGGTAGCAAAACAAACAACAAAGGCAAAATATACCTTATAAAAACAAGTCTTATATATATATATATATATTTCAATTATTTGGACTACTTGCCTCAGTATCAGATATTTCTCTACCGGTGTTATTAGTAAATCCTTACATAGGGGCAGACAGAATACCTAGGCGAGCTCTACCTCTTCCAGTTTAATACAACTGCACAACAGTAGAAGACTAGTCTATATAGTACTAGTAAATTAGTCGCCTCTACTAAAAATCGTTTTTTCATAGTATCGGCGTGCCGCAAATTACGTACCTCTTTGACACCGAGTAAGTACAGCATCCACAATTTGCTCTAGAGTTTAAACATACAACAAATATCTACATTTACCTCAAAGTACGCATGTTTCTGTCGCACGGCATTTGCGGTCTTACTGGTGCAGTTACTGCATCGGTCATTGACACCAAGATATCCTTTCAAAACCGTACGCTGCAAATGTGGGACAAGATGGGTAAAACCTATTTTCAAAAACTTAACAATTGCGAGGTATAAATATAAGCAAGTGTTCACATTTTAGTGTTTGTACCAATGAAATGTTTAATTGTTGCGTATAATACATGTGCAGGTAATTATTTCAGGTTAAAAGTTTGCGACTTCCTCCATAAGGTAATCAGTCTCGGGAAATATCGTGGCATCACGTGCACACCACAATGGCGGAAGCAGAAGAGGAAGCTTTGGAAATATTATTGAGTATGCTTTATTTTGTTGGACTTAAAACTGTTTAGAGAGTTAAAGCGACTGTTGGTCGAATTTCACAATCTTCTCATTTAACATAACGTTAGTTTGTTCAATGTTATTGTCATTTTAAAACATTACTGAAACGCCCACCATGAAGTCCACGAAGCTATTTCATATCCTTTCGTTTACAGCATTGCAATCTCTTCATTATATATACCGCATTTTTTACCATGATATTTGGCCATACGTTAAAAAAGCAAAGCTTATTGCTGCTCGACAAGCAACCTGATCGAAAAGTGGAGTGTGTGTGTTGGGGGGGGGGGGGGGGG